TTCATTTTGATGGGTCAAATATAAATGACGTCTCACGTTTGCATTTCCTTAAATTCAATGCACGTTTTATTCAGTCCAGAAAAATGAGGAATCCGTGTTAATTGATGAATATATCTGAGCATCTGTTCATCTACACTGTGTACCTCATTTTAAATTCTGTTGTTTTATGATTGACGTTTATTTTTACTGCTTGTTTTTCCTTAGTGTGATCATTAGTGTGTGTTATTGCTCCAGTAATTTTAATTCTGTATGATGTTTTTGTTTTGCTGCCTATGTTTTGCTACATTTCTGTTAAGCACTTTGATAACAGTTTATCTGTTTTAAATTGTGCTCTACAAATAAAGATGACTTGACTTGACTTGACTTTAGTTGCTGTTAAAAGACGAGCTGCTGTGTTCTGGACAGATTGTAAACGATGCAAAGATGATTTGTCTAAACCAACATACAATGAATTACAGTAGTCCAAACGAGATGTAATTAAAGCATGAATCACCTTTTCAAGGTCTCTGAAAGGGAGACAAGACTTCACCTTGGCAATAAGTCTTAGCTGGAAGAAACTGGATTTCACAACTGCATTTATCTGTTTGTCTAATTTAAAAGCACTATCAAAAATAACTCCCAGATTCTGGACAGTGGAGTGGCTGTATGAAGCCAAGGGGCTAAACGTGTCAAGGGTGTTACATTTACCAAAGCTGATGACTTCAGTTTTATTTTCATTTATATTAAAAAAAAAGTTTTAACCAGACTTTAATGTCATTTAGACAGGTCAAGAGTGGATCCAGTGGAGTGAACCTTTCTGACTCAATGGGAAGATACAACTGAGTATCAACAAAGCAATGAAAAAGGATGTTGTGTTTTCTAAAAAATGGACCCCAAAGGAAACACATAGATTAAAAAGCAGTGGGCCTAAAAAAGACCCTTGAGGGACCCCACAGATCAGTGGAGCTGCAGATGAAGAACACTCCCCTAAATGAACAGAAAAACTCCTGTCAGTCGGGTAGGATCTAAACCAGGATAAAACTGTGCCTTTGATACCGACCACCTGCTCCAGTCGTGATAACAAGATGTTGTGGTCCACAGTATCAAAGGCAGCAGAAAGGTCTAAAAGCACTAAAACAGCAGAGCTTCCTGCATCAACAGTTAAAAGAAGGTCATTAAAAACACTTAAAAGGGCTGTCTGTGCTATGGCCTGATTTAAAACCTGACCGAAAATTTTCACCAACGTTGGCAGTTAAAAACCTCTTAAGTTGACTAAAAACAACTTTCTCTAAAATTTTCAACAGAAAAGGCAATTTAGAAATAGGTCTATAATTGAAGGTTATTGTACATGTAGTGAGTAACACTGAGACAAATTATGATGGTAAGGTAGTAACATACACGATACAGCCACATAGTGCAGCAGCAATAAACATATTAGCTGTTACAGCTAATATTAGTCATACGAAGTGTCACATATGCTGTGATAGAAATGAAGATGTTGAGGTTCTCTTTAGGATTGACAGGGCTGGATTAGGAATGAGATAATCAGAGGTACAGCACAGGTTGAACAACTGGGAGATAAAGTTAGGGTGCATTCACATCAGCCCTGTTTAGTCCGCTTTAATCGAACTCTAGCTCATTTTCCTAGAAAGTCCGGTTTGTTTGGGGAGGTGTGAACGCACCATCGAACTCTGTCACGGAACAAAAAGGCGAACTCTGGCCCGGGCTACAACCTAGGTCTCGGTCCAGTAGAAGAGAACTCCAGCGCGGTTCGAGTACAGTGTGAATGTAAACAGACCGGGCCTCGTTCCACAGGACAAACAAACACACATTTCTCTGACCTTATATGGAGCAGTCAGCTGCCTTGTGTGGAAAAACAATATTCTCCAAGAAAAAAGACAAAGAGGAGATATATGGATGCAGTTAGTGAGGACGTAGTTGGAGTGAGGACAGAGGACAGTGAGAGGGAGGAGGATGACTTGCTGCGGAGACCTCTGAAGAGGGAAAAGAAGAAAGGTGTCACAGATGTGACATGGTGCAATGTTATTGTCAGTTGTTCAGTATTATTATCAAGAGTTAAATAATCTGACAGTTTGTGGATAATAACTATCTTTGAGTCTTTTCATGTGTTATGGCAGACTCCTGTATAGTCTGCATGAGGGTAGTAGACATAAGAATCCTTGTGCTGGGTGGGTGTGGTCTTTAATGATGCTGCGTGCTTTACGCAGACATCGGCTGTGGTAGATGTCCTGGATGGTGTGGAGACTGCTACCAGTGATGTCCTCTGCTGTTTGCACCACCCTCTGTAGTGTTTTCAGCCCTGACTGGTGCAGTTCCCATACCAGCCTGTGATGCAGCTTCTTCATTCCACGAGGACGTAAAAACAGACTAAACATTCAGTAAGAACAGCTGGAATGACTCATGTAAAAAACATTAAAATTAATGACGAAAGCTTATTTTGAAATCCCTGACAGATCATTTTATGGACACTTCTGCGGATTCTCACTTTAACCAAAGCAACATTTGAAAGACCTGGAACACATTCAGCGCAAATTCTCTCGGACGTTCATTTCTTTCCAAGGAAAAGTTAGTGAATATCTTTAAAACTCAACCCTTTCAATTACAAAAAACAAAATTGTAGCTTTAGAAAAAAATGTCTTGCTTTAAGATATATCCTTTTATGCTGCGGTTTACAAAACCAAAGGTTATCAAAATTAATTCTTAGCTATTTACACCAATGATAAATCCATGACTTGATGTTTGTTATAACTGGCATGCTATAATTATTTGTAGTTATTATAATGCAACATTGGGACTATAAATAAGCATGTCTATAAAATAAATGTATAAAATACGACATACCACAAATATTTACCTTTCACAACAAAATGATGAAAACAACGAAAAGCATGAAACATGAGGCCTCGACCTTCTTAGGTTTTCGATGTCTAACCTTTTGTTTCTCCGAACACTTAAAAACGTGCGGTTTTACTAAAGATTATTACAGAAGTGTAACTTGTTGCTTCATGTTTGCAGTAAACAACTTGTGTCGTTGGCTCAGGTGCTGTCCCTGCCTCTGAGGATCTACTACTACCTGAACACCGTCTGGCCTTTTGGTCACCTTCTCTGCCTGCTCTGCTTCTACCTGAAGTACGTCAACATGTACGCCTCCATCTACTTCCTGGGCTGCATCAGTGTGCGCCGCTGCCAGCTCATTTTTCGCCCGCTGTCGTACAACTCATCGAAGCAAAAAGGAGACCTTTTGGTTTGTGCGTTGGGTTGGCTGCTGGTCTGCGTCTGCTGTCTGATCTTCCCGTTGCTGAGGAGCTCTGGGTCAGACAGCTCTTTAACAAACTCCCAGCAGTGTTTCTCAGAGCTGCCCATGAGACTCGTCAGTCCTCCGGCAGTTTGGGCCCTCCTGATAGTAGCAGAACTGTTGGGATTCATTATACCCCTCATCTTGGTGTTGGTCTGTGCCTGCATGACTGCTGGGAGCCTCCGAAAGGTGACGAGCGAGGCTGTTCCAGACCGAGGGGAGAAGAAGAGGGCATTAAAGATGGTGCTAAGCTGCGCCGCCGTCTTCCTGCTGTGCTTTGCACCGTACCACATCACCTTGCCCCTGGACTTCCTGGCAAAAGCCAACAAACTGAGTGACTGTGCCCTGAAAGACCTGATCCAACGGTGCCACACGGTGACCCTCTGCCTCGCCAGCCTGAACTGCAGCCTCGACCCACTCATGTACTACTTCACCAGTGAGGAATTCTGGAGGCGACTGAATAAACTGGAGACATGAGAGAGCACGAGTTTCAACAGGCGCTTGTCCTGCATGACCGGAGAGGACTAAACTGACCGCTGCTGCTGATGGAGCATCTTGTCCAGCACCACTAAGCCCTCAAAGAAAAATCACTGCATCCCCACAATGGCACCTCAATTTATGCGAAATAATGTGAAAACGTCTATTTATTTCTCATTAAAGCATTTAGTTTTCTACATTTAAAGAGCGATGAGTGTTTTTCCACAAAGAACCGCAGCTTCATCTGATACTCGGTGACACAAGTGACCAATTTATCAAAGATCATTTAAACGCCGAGTCCAAGCGCTCGATTAATAACGGACAGCGATTTAATAGATAAAGAAAAGAACTTTATTCAACAACAAAGTCACATTTATTTCAGTAGCTGCACACAAGCTTTTTTCAACAATATTCTGTTAAAGCAACAAACGATCCGTTCCTGATTGTCTTCCTGAACACACGTCAGAACAAAACTCAAATCTTTACGATTCTAGACAAAAAGACATTTTAAAAAATATCTGTACCTCTGGTTTTAGGACAAAAAGTGAACCCTCCTGCTGCCCTAAATGACCCACAACCATGGGTCATTCTGATCCCAGGGCAGCAGGAGGGTTAGGTCAGCAGGTAAATATTATTGGGCAAATGTTAAAAACCACGTTTTCAAATCTCACAAACACCTTACATTATTTTACATATATTTATTAGATCAGTCTCAGTGAAGTATAACATCAAAGCAGACAGATTTTACATTGTGTGTAGTTGTGGTTTCCTTGAACACACCTTCAGGTTACAGCTATAAATAAACACAAACGGGTCGAACACTGAAAGGTTTCCTGCCTAAAAACACGAGCGGACAGAGGACGCCTCTGAAGGCTGCAGGACACACAAACATCTACACAAGCAGCAACACACAGCTCTTACCGTGCACATTTTATCTGTTAAACTCTACGGCGGGCGTGGCACTACACACCTGAAATTTAAAGACCTGCTTGAACCTGAATCGATCGTTTCAACCATTCCAAGTTTTGTGGAACGCTCATGATTAATGTCTTCAAGCTCCGTCAGACGTCAAGCATCAGCGTACGCCAACGAATGAGACCAAAAAAAAAAAACACGGTGTAGGTTTTGAAGAAGTCATCAGCACGCTGATGTCCGATGGCCAGCCAATCATATTTCACATTCACAACATGTTCTGCATCTGCCGACACGTTGCTCATAACTTGGGTAGAAGTTACGCGCATGCCACAGGTGAGTTATGCAACGTTAACACGTTACATGTATGCATGTTGGACAAAATGTACAAATGTCAGCAGTTAGCTGCAGCCGTTTTAAAGTGCTTTCTAAATTAAGCAGTAGTAATATCTCAGCAGAAGTTCTCTAAAATGTAACAGGGCTTTTGTTTTCTAAGCGAGTAATGCAAGATGTTTGAACCTCTTCAAACTGGCCATTACCTCGTCAGTCACAACTGACATGCTAACAGCTAGTTAGCTAACTGCTAGCTTCTAGGCTAACAGCTAGCACAAGTGAGCTCGGGATCGGAGTGGATCGCTGCCATGTTTAAACAACTCCAACCTCAAATATTTCTGGTTTATCCAAATGCCTTTTTATAAATTACTACATCGACAATTTTGATTAGACAATTATTTACAGTCGTCTGCCGCTAGCTTTAGCATTCGCGAGCACTTCCAGCATGACCATCTTATTTTTGCTGAAATAACTGAAAAACTTACAAAATAGCCTTTAACTGATTAATAAAAATTAGAGTATAGCTGTTTTAATACACAATAGCAACAAAGTGTCAGGTGATCAGTCCAGTGCGAATCAAGTCAAAGTGAAAGTGTCGCACAGACGAGTTCTCAAACCCTTAGCAAAAAGTATTAAGTATACTACAAGTATACTTATTTTACACTAAAAATGAGGAAGTGTACTTTAAGTTTACTTTTTATAAACTTTATTTGATATACGTAATAGTATAAAAATGTCCCAATTTAGTCCAAACAAGTATTAAATCAGTATACTTCTAGTACACTACAAGTATGGTGTGTAGTATACTTGATATACTTATACTTAAAAGTATACTTGCAAAAATAAACTTCAAATGTACTACTTTTTGTTAAGGGAATCTCGATAAGCTTGGTTCAACTTCAGTCATCCAAAAGTGAACCGGTTGGACAAACGTGTAAAATTCTACACATTTGATTAAAAAATATTCTCAGAATCAAACTACAGTATTTATTTAAACTGGGTTGTTCAAAAAGCTATCTACAACAGGTAATATATTCATTATTCATAATTCTTCCACGGTATGCCACCTCCAAAAAATCTGAACTATCCCTTTATTAGAGCCACAAAAGACAAAATATCTCATCAAAGCTGCTGTGGCGACATTAGGCTTCTCAGCAGAACTAGAATATTTAATAAATCAACAACTGGTGTGAATGTGAAGGAATGTCCTAACAACAGGTCACATGGGTCTGCAGGAAGATGCAACTAAACAAACAGAACTATTAACATACCTGCCAAACACCCCTGTTTGGGTGGGACAGTTCCAGACTTTGACCCCGCTGGCCTGAATCTCACACTGGGAGGAGTGGGACATCCAAATGTCAAGCACTTGTCAAATGCAGGACATTTGGCTGTCCAGCATTTGACAAGTGATGGCTGGACTCACCCGTCCATGCCACGTCTGTGGGACAAGGGACAGAGGTGTTGTCTCACGGGCGTCCTGCAGCAGCACGAGCAGGTTTCTCTAATGTCTAGATTTAATGTGCAGCTTTCAGAAACTGCTGAAATGATTCTGAATAGTCAAAAGCTACAAATGAAAATAAATAAAAAATGTGCCCGACAACACACTCAGAATAAAAGATTTACAGTTTGTTGTTAAAGTTCAGCTACGTTTAATAATTTATTAAGATGAAAGTTTTTATTAAATATGGCGTGTGGTGGTGATTTACATGTGTTAAAGTTCCAGTGAAAGTAAATTAACTGAATGTTTAGTTGCCGTGAACATTATTTCTAAACAGATAGTGGACTCATGGTTTGTAGGAAGCTTGTTCTTTTTGTGTGTTCTTGTTCTTTTTGTGTGTTCTTGTTCTTTTTATGTGTTCTTGTTCTTTATACTCACCTGGATAATTTCTAACGTTAGATGGTGCAGAGGACGTTTCTACCATATTAAGCAGTCAAAACAAGCCCATGGTGCTTAGTGTGTGACACCCCCCCCCCCCTCACCAATACAATAAAAAATTATGCCAAAGCATTTTTTTAGTCTGATCTCAGACAAAGTTCAGCTTAAAGGCCAGTTAGTGTTCATTGTTCCAGCGTTCAATAAGTAGTTTTACCTGTTTTAAATCTTTTGTTTAATCCTAGGATGTTAATAAAATGTTCTTCTAATGGCAGGAAAATGCAGTTGGAATGGAAATGTAAAAATATTTGCGGGGAGCAGACCCCGCCATGACTGCTTCACATCCCAATGTTCCCACATCATCAAATACAGTTAGGTGTCTCTCATGACCATCAGAAATGTTGGCAGGTATGCATTAGAGCGCTTTAAGTTAACACTAAACAACTAGTTAATACTACAACCTGTACAGGTTGAGGGATTTATTCTAGAACACTGAAACCTAAAATGTACTAAACACTAACTAAAAAAACAACTTGATTTTATACAAAACTAACTGTACTTAAAACCATTGTGCTCATGTTTTCATCGTCCAACTTGCTCCGTCAGTCCGGATCAATCTGGTTCCTTCTGACCTACGATGACTCCCCATCAAGCCTTGCAGATACGGGTCTCCGTCACAAACTTGTTCTCAAAGTGATGGATGGTAAAGCAGCTGTCCACAGATCGCTTCTGGATGTTTCCACCTGACAAAGAATCAAACAGCCAGAAATAAAACATCTTCAGTGTGAAACCGTATCAATTTCAGCTGATCATTTTTATTGAAATCTGTCTTTTCACTCAGTTATCATTTTAGGACTCAGTTGAACATTTTAGACAACTCAAGGAGTTAATTTACACTGACTCGCTAAGTAACATGAAAACATGTTGCTGCCAACAGAAATGTATTTTTCATTAGTATAAGTATGTATGAGTACTGACATCAGCTAAACTGAACCATGGAGGTTAGGTAACGAACGTTCACAAGCTAGTTGGATTTGTTTTCTAAAAATTTTAAATTCAGAACGTTGTTATTGTTTGATGTGAATTTTGTAATTCATCACCAAAACAATGAACTAATGAGCAGACAGCTTGTCATGTATCATTGATGATCAGTTCTCAGTTCTGTCTTCAAAGTCTGGTCTAACTCAAGTCATCAGTGTTAGCCGGTCTGAGCTGCTAACTATTTAACTGAACTAACGAGGAACTAATTTGCTATCTATTGTTAACAAGTTAACTGCTCCTAGCTACTAAAACATGAGTTAGCCTACATCTGCAAGGTCCAAGGTAGGGCTGAAATGATTCCTCGAATCATTCGAAGACCTCGATTACAAAAAATCCTTGAGGCAAATTTATCTGCCTTGAAGCTTCGTTAAACTATTCAGAGCACTGTGGTCTAGCCGGAAGGTTTTTGTGTTACACAACGCTAGCACTGCCGCTGCGCTAAGTTTGTAGCTATGGAGGGAACAGAGACTGCCTAGAAGAAGAGCCTCGAAAACAACTAAAACTTTGAAAAGTTTGGGAACATTTTAGGCTAAAGAGAAAAGACAACACAGCTCAATGCTTCCACTGCAAAGCAGAACTGACGTAACCACGACAGCACGTCGTCCATGTTGCAGCGTCTGAAGAGAAAACACCCGCTGTAGCATCAAACTCATCCGCAGCTGCAACAGGTATCAAGTTCTCTCTGCAAAATACGTGAACCTAAATGTGTGATAATCTGTCACGTTATAGATGTAAAATGAGGCACATTTTTGCTAACGTTAAATCTAGTGACTAATCATAGTGGCTACCTGGCAGGGTCTGTACGCTGTGTGAGGAAAAACTGTGCAGGACTTGATGCAAGTTTGTTAAAGATAAAAGCAGCAACAGACTGACGGCACGAGCTTAAACACATTTATTTATTGCTGTACTTCCATCCTGACTTAAATGAGATATTTAGGGTGAATATTTCAAGTGTAAATGTATTTACACGAGTTAGTAGGATATTTTCTCTTCTACTGCTGTTTATGACTTGAAAACTGGGATTAATCTGCATTTATTACTACTGTCATATTTGTTTATAGCTAAGGAATCAAGACTAAATAATAATACAATCAGCAGAACTCAAAGTAAAAACTCAAACTTTACATTATCTATCTTACTCAGTTTCTAACATAAAGATTCCATTCAGTTTTCCAATCCATAAAAATTATTTACAGCATTTAGATTTTTATGTGATGCTTAAAAATAATTCAACGTAAGCAATAAAATATTTAAAAAAGAGGAATTAAATGGGTTGTTTAATGTTTTTTTGTGTATTTGTATCACTCATAAAACGAGTACGGTAGTTACTGCAGAACCTGACAAATTTTGTTTCCGATTACCCGATTAATCGTCAGAATAATCTATAGATTACCCGATTACTAAAATATTTATTTACAACAGCCCTAGTCTGCTGTAACTCATTGCTAATGTTAGCATGTTTAACTGTGCTGCAAGACGTTTAGCTAGCATCCAGATAACGGTTTTGTCATCAGTTGGCCTGGTTAAGGGATGAGTGTTTCCCCTAACATTATAAAGTGGGGCGCCCCGCCCCGTCAACAGAACTGAGTGCCCTTCCTACCGAAGACAAAGTCTGCTCTTCACAACATGTTTGTGGAAGAGTATCCTGCCACGAACAAAGGAGATATCTGAGGACCTCAGAAAAAGAGCTGTTGATGCTCAACGCAGACGGCCTCTTGTCCTGAAACTGGTTCTGCTAGAACGGGGGTGTCAAACTCACTGACAAAAGGGGGCCAACATTAAAACCTTTTTCAAACTAAAGACCAATTTCAGAAACTACATTAACTCAGATCAGATACCCGGCATCTTTTCTTGGTCACAGGCTCCTCAACAAGAGTTTGATTAGTCTTGTTTGATGTTCTCTGTTGTGCTTTCAACATCATAATCAAAGATTACTGAAGAAATTCAAGAGATAAAAGTACTTTATGTTTCACATATCATCTTGAGGGCCAGATGTCAGCGAGGGCCACATTTGACCCCCGGGCTTTGAGTTTGACACATATGTGCTAGAAGTTTCTTCCTAGTGAGGGAGTTCTCCTTTCCACTGTCGCCTTCATGCTTGCTCAAGATGAGAGCTTCTGCGATGGAGTTAAATTCAAAGCAGTCTGCTCCTCAGATAAATAATGTTAAATTATTATTTTTATATATATGAATGTTTTTGTTCAGTGCCATGAGATGACTTCTGTTGTGACTTGGCATTATATAAATAAAACGACTTTAAATAGAATTTCATCAGGATAGAAAAGGTCACAAAACCATTTCTAAAGAGTTTGGACTCCACCAATCCACAGTCGGACAGATTGTGTACAAATGGAGGACGTTCAAGACCATTGTTACCCTCCCCAGGAGTGGTGGACCAACAAGGATCATTCCAAGAGCAAGGTGTGGAATAGTCTGTGAGGTCACAAAGGAGCCCAGGGTATCAACTGAAAGCCTCTCTCACATTGAGTGATGCTAATGTTCATGAGTCCACCATCAGGAGAACTCTGAACAACAATGGTGTGCATGGCAGGGTTGAAGGAGAAAGCCACTGCTCTCAAAAGGAACATGGCTGCTCGTCTGTAGCTTGCCAAAGATCATGTGAACAAGTCAGGAGGCTGTTGGAAGAATGTTTTGTGGATGGATGAGAACAAAATAGAACTTTTAGGTTTAAATGACATAAAAGGAAAACTGCATTCCTGCATAAGAACCTTATCCTATCTGTGAAACATGGTGGTGGTAGTATCATGGTTTGGGCCTGTTCTGCTGCATCTGGGCCAGGAAGGCTCCCCATCATTGATGGAACAATGAATTCTGAATTATATCAGAGAATTCTAAAGGAAAATGTCATAACATCTGTCCATGAAGTGGATCTGGAGAAGATGGGTCATGCAGCAAGATATTGACCCTAACCACACAAGTGGTTCTACCAAAGAATGGTCCAAGAAGAATAAAGTTCATGTTTTGGAATGGCGTCTTGATCTACTTTTAGGACTGGTGTGAAAATCTGATGACGTTTTACGTCATATTTATGCAGAAATATAGAAAATTATAAAGGCTTCACAAACTTTCAAGTACCATTGTAGTTGCAAGAGATCTATGGAATCATACTGACGTCTCATCGTTTATGGAAAAGGAACTGGCAACAACTGGTGACATTGGTTTCTTGAAGCACTGTCCCATTTTGTAGTAAAATATTTTACCCACTCCCCATTGTGACTTCAAAAAATTGGCCAAGATGTATGTGTAGTGAAAACGTTACGGTTATTTTTAACAAATCATACAAAATTATGAAAAAAGGTTGCTAAAGTCCGTTATTCTAATTCTGCATAGAGAAACTTTAGTATTTTCCTAGTTCCTAGTAAATAACACAAGTATGTTAGCATGTGTGATGTTAGCTTGAAATGTGGAAGAACTCTAAATGAGATATGTAGAGTTACTCCTGCTAAATACACAGAGATGAATCTTAGTTTGTGCGTAGTAAAAGTCAGAACTATTTTTACGTTTGTGTAAATAACACCCGGTAAAAAAAATTGTTTTAGTACCTGGCAGGTTGGCACGACGTTCCATTCTGTATGTGTCTTTACCGTCACACAGCCGACGGATGTAGAAACCCAGAGGCTTGACATCATCAATACGTTCAGTGACCACCAGGTCCTCATGCACCAGGTAGCTGCGGTATGAGTCGGACTGGATGTAGGGAAGAATACAATACAAAAAGGCAAGAAGTAAATGTGGAGTCAGAGGACAAGTGTGGAAAAGGTTTGTTTTCTAGTTGTGACATGAAACACCAGCAACACCCTGCCCCGTGCACGTGCACAATGTGCTCAGATGTAGCACATAAAACCCAGGAACACACTCCAGGTGGAAGTGTTTGGATGAAGATAAGATGCTGCTTGGATTAAACGGAGATCGGTTACAATCTAGCTTCTTTCTGTTTGTAGGAAAACAAATTAAAATAGTCATAATTTAAATTTTATGAGCCTAAAGTGCTTTAATAACAGATCAGGGTTTTTAAATGTCTTATGTCTGCAGACCTTGAGTTATTCAGAAAACACCCAGGAGCTGAAGCCTAGATAAATCCACCCATCTTCATTACCCACTTCTCCTCTCTGGGTGGTGGAGAACTGGAGCCCATAGTCACTGTGTGAGAAGCAGGGGACACCTGGACAGGTCTCCAGCCCATCACAGGGACATCATGGACAGGTCGCCAGCCCATCACAGGGACACAGAGACAAATGAGACAACCAACCATTCACTCTCTCACTCACACCTAGGGACAATTTAGAGTTACCAGTCAGTCTAACATGCATGTTTTTGGTCTGTGGGAGGAAACTGGAGTACCCGGTAAGGCTGGGTGATATGAACCAAAATTATTATCTCAATATTTTTACAAAAATTGCAATTTACGGTATATCTCAATATTTTTTCTTTTCATTATGTAATAACAAAAATATATTTGAGTCAAAGTTTTGTCCCAATTGTCACACAGGCACATTTATTAACAACAGCTGTAACTGTACAAAGTAAATGCCTGAAAAAAAAAACTATTTACATATATTAAATAGATAATTTTTTTAGACATTTATTTACATATATTAAATAATAATCCTCTTCAGCTGGGGGCAGCTGTGGTTGAGAGGGTAGAGCAGTCGTCCTCCAATGGGAGAGTTGGGGGTTCGATTCCACCAGCAGTCACATGCTGAAGTGTTCCTGGGCAAGACACTGAACCCCTCATTGCCTCTGATGTGTGTCTCAACGGTGTATAAATGTGATAAATCTCTGATTATTCTTTGTAGAGATCTAGTAGAGGGCATGAATGGGTAAATGAGGGCACAGATTGTGTAACAAAGAGCTCTGAGTGTCTTGATAAGATAGAAAGGAGCTATATAAGTACAGTCCATTCAGCTGTGCTGCCTTCACGTTAGTAAACGTGTGTGAACAGCGGTAGTGAGCTTCCACTTGGAACCTTGACGCTGCAGCTCTGACAGACCCATCTCCTTCCTTGAAGCAAACCACGGTTCAGAGCTCATTTAACCGTGCTGTGCCTTTTAGAGGAACAGAGAGAGGAAGCGTGACATTAATAAATCAGCAGTTTATCATAAAGCTAAGAAAAGGTCCCGTCTCAGCTGTGTGGAACAAGACAGCTAAAGCGTTAGCCGTCTTGTTAGCCACTAAGGACCGTGTCTTTAGCAATATGATAAAGCTGCCGATTTATTAATGTCACGCTTCCTCTCTCTGTTCCTCTAAAAGGCACAGCACGGTTAAATGAGCTCTGAACCGTGGTTTGCTTCAAGGAAGGAGACGGGTCTGTCGGAGCTGCAGCGTCAAGGTTCCAAGTGGAAGCTCACTACCGCAGTTAGAGAGAATCTCTGCCGTGAGAATTCTAACCTGCAACCTTTTCACTGAGGAGACAGCTCTAACAAGGCGTCACCGTGCCATCTGTTCTTTACAGTTTTCAGCTGCTCCCTTCTTCAGGGGTCACCACAGTGAACTAAGTCACACAAAGACTTGGCAATTGTTTTTATGCCAATGTACTTCCTGACACGACCACAAACCTCTGAGCTACCACAGCCCTGTGTGTGGAGCAGAGAGCTGCTATCTAGGGTGCCCGGGGGAGCAGATGGTCGGAGTTAAAGGCCTTGCTCAAGGGCCCAGAGTGGAGCAAATGACAGTGGAGGGAGGTGTAGACGCTTCACCTTTCCCACCCACATTTTCATGTCATCTGTCCACCGAGTTGAACCAATGACCTTCTGATCACAGACCCACTTTCTTTAACCTCTGCGCCACCACACAGCATATATAAAAAATTAAATAAAAAATAATAATAATTCATTATTAATAATAATAATAATAATAATAATAATAATAATTCATGGCAGCACGGTGGCGCAACTGGTAGAGGTGCTGCCTCTCAGCGAGCAGGTCCTTGGTTCAAACCCCGGTCCAGGGGCCTTTCTGGGTGGAGTTTGCATGTTCTCTCCGTGCATTTGTGGGTTTTCTCCGGGTTCTCCGGTTTCCTCCCACAGACCAAAAACATGCATGTTAGGCTGACTGGTAACTCTAAATTGTCCCTAGGTGTGAGTGAGAGAGTGAATGGTTGTTTGTCTCGTTTGTCTCTATGTGGCCCTGTGATGGACTTGCGACCCGTCCAGGGTGTACCCCGCCCCTCGCACAGTGATTGCTGGACATGGGCACCGGCGACCCCCGTGACCCAAAATGGAATAAGCGGGTAAAGATAATGGATGGATGGAATAATAATTCAGATAGTTTTTAAATTTTATTTTACTTAAATTTTGTCAATTACAGGCAAGACATTTTCATAAAGATTCAAAAATAAAAAGTTTATTCAACTCATTTAATTTTGAAAAGAACGTCTCCAGATCAGATTGAGTTTGTATCTTTACAGTGTTCGAATGTGTTGGAGGAGCAGAACTGTTCTGCTCAGTTCTTAACTCCTGGCTCTGAAACTCACCATCAGCTGTGAGAAGAGGTCCATGAGGTCCTGAGGGGGCAGCACCACTGACGTGTTCAGAGGAATCACAAAGCAGGTCCTCAGATTCAGGTCCAAATACGCCGTCAGCTTCTGCTCACAAGCACACGAGACCATCAGCTGAGAGCTCTAACACCAAGCTGAGGCAGGGAGAGAATGTCACTGATGGTGCCTCACCCTGTGGAAGTCATGGAGGATGTATGCAGGGTCTCCAGGTCTGAAGCGAGGAGGGGGGACGCTGATGACGGCCATGTTGTCAGAGATCTCCACCTCTTCCTCCACTTGGGGCAGGTAGTATGGCTGGCTCTCAGCTCCGCTGGACACATCCGTGAACTGCATTGCTCCGTGATAAAGCCTCTGGTGGGGCGTAAAGAACAGGTATGTATTTTGTTGATGTGGCCATCCTGGAACAGAAAACTGACAGGAAACTATTGCAGGCTCTCTTAGTGGTGAGCAAGAAAATTACCAGAAATTGACTCAATCCAACCCCTCCAACAGTGGAAGTGTGGTTGGATATTACTTTAAAAATCTTCAAGACAGAGAAGTTAACCTATACCCTGAATATCCAAAGAGATCAAATGTACCAAATTTGGAACAAGTGGACCCCCCCAACAAAATTCACGGACCAGATGAGCGCCTCGCCATGGCAAGTTATCTAGGGGAAACACTGTTCTCTGCATGACTTCTCCACCCAATTGGTGAATGATACTGTTTTGTATTTTTTCCTCTTACCTACGTTTTATTACTACTGTTTATGTTTTCTCCTCGTAAGCTCCCCTGATTCTGATGTATATAAGCTTGAGTACCGAACTTCGGTTCTGTTATGGTTCCGACCAAAATGCTTCTGTAGTAATAAGTATCACAATATGCCTCCACTTTTGGTGCCGAGTTTCTTGATTAGCTATAATGTTACACGTGGTTGCAGTACGGAGGAAAAACAAACACTACGTCTCCGCTTCACACCACGGACGGCTCCGTGTGTGGGATTTCAACTGGTAAGTTTACGTTTGTTAACGTTACTGCAACTTAATATGTGCATCGTGAGGTGAATTAAACTAGAATCCATGTAACACTTAACTTTAAGATATTAGTGTGTAGCTTTATTTCATGGCTATCTTTGTAGCTAGCTAAATCAAAAGCTAACTGAAGATTGACAGTAACAGATGAAGCTTAGCTTGTAAAAATGTGCTCATCCATTGGGTCAGTTGGTTAAACAGTTCACCTAATGTTCACTGTTTATGTTCTCCTTACAGGAGCCTCTGACCCAGATGTGAGGAGGACAAGGCCAGTCAGTGTGAATCCATTCACACTGGCAGAAAAAAGGAAAAATGACCAAAAAAGTGAGATGAGTGCCACAAGACAGTCACAAACTTTGTTGTTAAAAGCTTGCTGCCTTTTTCTACAGTGGAGGCTCCATGGTGGAGGTAAGTAAGCTGTAAAGGAAATTGTTGACCAGTTAAACCTTTATTTCTCAGCCTCAATAATGTTTTTTGAGCAATAATTACACAACTATGTTACTGTTGATGTTTTGTGTTCTAAAGTCAATTAGGGAGAAAATAAAAGCACTAAACCCCAGAGAACCAGAGAAGATTCAGGAAGAGATACAGAACTACAGAAGTCTGTCATCAACCCTAACCTCAGTGATTCCAGTGACCTGCTGGTGGAATGCAAGGGACAATGTGTCAATGCTATCAAACTGGCAACCACGTATCTGTGTGTGCAACAAGCATCCTATCCTGATGCATGCTCAATAATCCAGGTAGAAAAATCTAAAAAAGTTAAATCTGGTCCTCTGGACATTCAAAACATTTTTTGTTTTTGTTTTGTGTTTTTGAATGTCCAGAGGACCAGATTTAACATGTTTTAAACAAGCATCATCCACACCCTCAGAGTGAACATTTTCTACTGCTAGAGACACTATCAGCCAAGAGTGGGCTTGTTTGTGTCCAGAGAAAACAGACATGTTGATTTTTCTGAAGAAAAACTGTGAAGTGAAAAGGTCCTCAGTGTGTAGCAGTGAACATTAGACACTGACGAGTCACTGGTTTGAAACTGGTCTTTTGACCTGGAAATTATTTGTTTTTTATGTAAGAAAACTGCTTGGAATAGAAAAATACTAAAGTTAAAAAAAAAAACGAGATTTATATCGTAATGTGTAAAGTAATTTTCTTCTTCTTAGAATTGATATTTATTATAAAATTGGTACCGAAAAAGTATCGTTCAGGAACCGATATCAAAGTGAAATGTATCGGTATTGTTACCGGTATCAAATTTTTGATTGATACCCAGCCCTAGATGTATATAGTTCTTATTTTATTTTTTTACAAATTTAGGTTTTTGAGATGATATGATACCCATGGGAATATTTGTAAGCCAAGTGAAAACTAAGAGAAATGTTCTATCAATGTGTACAGGGGTTATACAGTAAACAAGTGTATTTGTAAAATTTGAAAATGACCACAACTGATAAAGATAGGAAGATGCTTGTAATATGAAATATTTAATTTCTTGTAAATCTGAAATTTTCCAAATAAAAAATAAAATAAAGCCTCCCACCTTCATGTGAATGTCATTCAGATACCACTGAATAAACTTAAACAAATTTAAAATATTAATATTAGACTAATGCTGTATGCTCCCAAATGGGATGACTATTTCTTTAATAACATCTTTTCAAACATATCAAATATGACAACACTTAACTTATAACTGGTGGTGACACAAATTGTGTGCTTTCATCTCTTGACTGTAGTTCAATGGGGAAAACTACCCTGACAAAGTGCGCCTAATCAATCAAATCATTCCTTAAATTGTATGGCATGGCTGATGTGTGGTGCTTCCGTAATCCTACTTCAGTATCATACTCATTTCCCCCCATTCATAAGACATACTCCTGAATTGACTACTTCTTGATAAACAAATTCTGCCTTTGGTGAAAGAATGTGACTATGGGACCATGGTCCACTTATTATGAAACTGCTCATCTGGGTCACAAAAACTGTCTATCGTCCTGAAAGACTCAACTCTACTTTTATCTGAGGAAGACTTTATCTAATTTCTTTTATCTGAAATTGAATTCTTGACGTTAACCAAACACCAGGGATGCCACTCTGTACCGTCTAGGAGGCATTAAAGGCCTATGTGAGGGGTCAAATAATTTCTTTTTGTGCAAACAAAAAAAAGAAGGGTTGGGTACATTGACAGTAAACGTATGAGATATTACAATCGGACAGAGAACATATTCCCCTGCTCAGGATCTAATGAAAAAACGTTTGTTACTTCAAACTGAATTTAATACTTTGTCCACTCAGCAGGCAGAATTTTTAATTTCTAAATCCAGACATGGTTACTACGAACACAGTGAAAGGGCTGGGCGTTTCCTCGTACATCAGCTACAGCAACAGTCAGCCAATAAAACTTTTCCAGTAATAAATAACAACCGAGACTGCTGTCGGGTCCAGCTCTCTTGCAATAGGAGTCAGTGATCTCAGTGGGATTTGGACTTGTTAAATAAATAAAGTCTAATAAGATAAGTGGAACTTACGCACATTACAACTTTTCACAATGTGTAGTGGAATCACAAAACGTTGATTTTAGAAATGGTAACTTCCTTATTTTTCAAGCTAGATACATGATCTTCATATTATTTGAAAGTTATTTTAAAACTACCAAATGGCATAATTTGCTTTAACAAAAAAAACTTAATAAAAGTGTTGATGGCACAACTGAACACCGAACTGTTTTCTGTCCTTGTTTTCTGCAGCACATTTAAAAACGACTAATTTCAAGATGCTGGTGAAGATTCTCAATCATCCAGGACATGATAAATTCAAAAACGGTCACTGCAAAAACAACTGGACTTTATTTGTAACAGAAGACGTTTCGCTCATGAGCCGAGGAGCTTTCAACATTTTTTCAGCTTTTCAGCATTGAACCCCTCACTCTCTGCTCTTTGAATTGAGAAAGCTCCCCGGCTGATGAGCGAAACGTCTCCTGTTACAAATAAAGTCCAGTTGTTTTTGTCTTGAACGTTTCTGAATGACTCATTTCAAGAAATGTAAATAAACTGGAGTTTTTAAAATAACTCGGCTCACAGACCTTTGGAGTGAAATATCGGTAGAGACACGCTCCCCCCACGATGAGCCCACTAAGGATGAAGGCGACACCGAGCAGGGTGAGCAGACAGCGACCTGTGGAGCCTTCAGAGCCCACGGGGGCCGAGGCCACCTCAGGATCCTGCAAACACAAACAGGTCCCCATAAGACAGGCAACCATGTCAAGTCCTCATTATAACATAAAAACAAGTGTGCACACACACACACCTATCATGTGGAGTCCTTGTCAGAAGATAAAAACAAACACACAGATTAAATACAGCAATGATAAAACTGCTCCATGCATGAAGCATTTTATGTAAATCATCTAACGCAGCAGAGCAGAAGATGGTGGAGCTTCTTTACACAAACTAAAACACGACACTGGGGCTGCAGCATACGTGATTTTTCAATGAGCAGGCCTCTGTCTCTAAACCCGAGTTAGCTCACTTGTCTCTAGCCCGGGTTAGCTTACCTTCACCGCAGTTGGCAGCTCTTTGCCTTTCTGCGCCAGAGCAGAGTTAAAGGCGATCTTCACCATGATGCCGTCTGCTTCAGAGTTGGGGGTCTCTGGTCTGAGGACGGAGCAGCAGGTCTTTACATCAAATCGCTTGTGACGCACTTTACAACCTCGGCTTTCTTCGTCTTCTTCCTTTGATTTTTTTATTTTTATTGGCGGTTTGCAAACTCATTTCAAGTACACTAGCGCCACTAACTGGACAGGAGGATGAATAACCTAACACTTCCGGCTTCATCTACTGCTTCCGGTGCAAACATCTGATAATGAAAATAGTATGTTTAAAAGTTAATTATCAAATATATAATTAGTTAATATTTTACCTAATGTTTTGGACTTATGGTAATAAACTAATATTAGTTAAAATAACCTAGTTACTGATTGTACTGTTCATCGGATGTATTAATTCAAGCAGCTTTGGCGCCATCTTGTGGCTGAATAAATTATAAAAAAAAAAACCCACAATATTAACCCCTGAACGCCTGGAAAGTTTACGACATTGTTCCTTATGGAAAGTAATCCATCTACCTTAACTAGCTGCTTCAAAATACCATTTTTATTTTTCCACAATAAACTATTCAGTCCTGTAAAGCTATCTCAGCCTGAAATGAAAATATATAATTTAAATTATGTTTTTAACATTTAAATTTTAAGGGTCTTGTCTTTTCAAAAACAAACATATTATTTTATGCATTTTTTAAATAAAAGGTACTTCCACTTTAGTACACTAAATAATTATGTATATATATATATATATATATATATATATATATATATATATATATGTGACCGATGTGTTTCTGGTCATATCTCTGCTACTCAATGATCCACTCAGCTCCGGTTGGTTGTGACAGCAGTTTATTATTTGCACAAAATAACACAGCAATTCAGTCATTGTGGATAGAGATCTTGTGGACAAAATAGCACGAGCTCTGTTTTGCCTAGTCTCAAGCAGTCTGTGTAATCAACCCAGCTACACTAACTTAATATAGTACAATAGTATTTTCTTTATAATAATAATATTATTACAACAGTAATATTACCAACTCAAATTAGTCTTGTGATCGTATAGTGGAATAATAATTATAAAAAAAAACAAATATAAAAGCCTATAGAATTATTTTAAATTGGGAACCAAAAAAAAAACAATAATTTTATCTGTCTGTCACTTTTATAGTGTTTTTTTTAATGTCAAACACTGTGCAACACATGTACCATACCATACCATACCACACCACACCACACCACACCACACCACACCACACCACACCACACCACACCACACCATACCATACCATACCATACCATACCATCTTTTGTACAGCACTTTGGTTGGCCTTGTTGCTGTTTTAAGTGCTATATAAATAAATTGGTATGGTATGGTATGGTATACCATACCATACCATACCACTTTATTTATACAGCACTTAAAACAGCTACAAAGCCAACCAAAGTGCTGTACAGACAAAACAACAGGTAACACACAAAGCAAAATACAAAATGAGGTAAATCAGAATATAGACAAAAAACGATGCAGATATTGACGACAAAGCAGCGTGGAGCATACAGGATCAAAACACAGATCATCTTGTGTTGAAAGCTATTGAATAGTAGTGAGTTTTTAAATGGGACTTGAAAACCGAGAGGGAGGGGGCCTGTCTGACAAGCAGAGGTAACTCGTTCCAGAGTCTTGGTCCTGCTACAGAGAAGGCCCTGTCACCTCTGCGCTTAAGATGAGTTCCTGGAACTGTGAGGAGCAACTGGTCCGCTGACCTCAGGGAGCGTGGTGGGACATACGGTTGTAGCAAATCAGAGAGATGGGGGG